TCATAACCGTAATGATCATAAGATCAGGTGATCCTCGCGATAATATCCCTCCTGTGCCTACGTCACAGTCGGTCCTAGAAATAACTCTGAATCTTGCTTAATTTATTTCATGAACATAAGGAACATTAAGTAATTTCAAATTTATTATTGATCAAATACTAGATAAGCTACTCATGCTATTATATGATACCTCACTAAGAATTGTCAATTGGACCAATTAGACCCAGAATTTGTATCAATTGGAATATGTTCAATTAACCTATTATTGTGCCCAATTGACAACACTGAATTATTGATATTCCTAAACCACTCAAATTTGCATTATGCAACAACTTTTCTCTTTTATATGCCCTAAAAATAAAATAAATAAAGAATGTTAAACAAGAATGCAGAAAATTAAAGGATTAATATATACATACGTCGATATTATTGCTGAGATTGCCGCACGCCGTACAATCACCTGATTGTTGTCCGATTGCGTGATTGTAAGGCCAAAGATTCAATATAAATATATTATTTTCATAAAATTTGTTGACCGTATCAATGCTCACTAAAAAAGCATTATATAATCGCGCAACTGGACAACAATCAGATAATTGTTCAAGTGATTGTATAGATGTGCAGTGATCTAAAAAAAATTGTTCAAGTCACATCAATATGCAAACCGCGATAAACAAATGTTGATAGATTAAAACAAAAATCTGCTAAAGTTTATTCAAAATTTAAAAAAAATTTTTAATCATTTATTTTTTATTTTATTTTTTAGGGGATTTAATTATTAGATATTATAGAAAAGATCAAAAAAAAATTTTTTTTGCAGTTATTAATAACAATCAGGTGTTCGATGATTTAATAGAAGCAATTTAACAGTTTCTGATACTTTTAATGCCAAGAGCTAGAGGTCGATATTAGAAACCTCATATTGTTTTGAATAATTTTTGACTACTCAATATTTTAAAAAGATACCATTTACTGCTAGAATGACAGCAGCTTCAGATGAAGCATACAATAAACCCACTTTTAGCACTTCAAGATCTCCTTTCAGGAATTTAGATCTTGATTAATTATTGCGGATCAAGCCTGTCTTATCTTTCGAAGAGTTCCTAGAAACAGATTTGCTTATTAAAATTTTTTTTTTGTTTTTTTTGAATGGAAACAAATAGGTGAAAAGCATATTTTCAATCAGAAAGAATGCGATGCGTGACAGGAAATTTGAACAATTTGATTAACCATCATTAATAAAAACAGATCATTGCACTTTGCAAATTAGCTGAATATTACTATTATTAAAATAATGATAATATGCAGAATTTTGACAAATTATTTTTGTTAGATTCAATGAATTCTGCATATTGCCATTATTAAACAACAGTAATGGCTGGGCAAATCGAAGGACTCAGGTAGATAATAGACTAGGCAATCTAAATAATGATTTGTCTAGATCATTACTCTTATTTCTATGTTTTGGATAACCGAAATTGCATTAATATATAATAGAAATTTCAAATACGTAATTTCATCGTAATGTCCTAAAAAATTTGATTTGTGACACACACGACGAGATTGTTCATGAATTGAGACAATAACTAAACACATAGATAAAATTATTGGCACTGGACATATACTAGTTTCCAGTTTCTAAACTATTGTACCATAATAAAAAAAAGACACTTCCATAATAAGATAGCTGCGCAACGTTGTCACGCAAAACCGGCATTGCATTTAGGTTGTCGCACTTAGTGATGTGCCGTGTACAGTACAGTACGCAAAAAAATTTTTAGAATATTCTAGACCAAATAATGAAAGTATCCTTATCTCAAAATTTTGATTATGAAACTGTCTTTCGCATTCTAACAAAAATTGTTCCTTGCAGAATTTTGCATATAAATTATTTATAAATGCTACGTATATTATGTGTATTACGTATGCTATAACACTATCAGACGCCCCTTTGAATTATTCCAAGAATAGTTGAAACTTGATATACGAAAATTTTATATTTAAACAGAGTAACTACAATCCTGATTTATTCAAATCAGGTGGAGCAGGAAATTTATGATATAAATGATTCCAATAACGATAATACAGTCAGAACAACAAACAAAAACAGGTAAAAACAAGAATCAAGTAAAAACAAGAATAATTTCATGTATCAATCATGGGTTGAAAGCCACGATAATAAATACATTATAATAATCTAGAATGATCCTTTGGTCACAAACATCTAATTTGCATTTTTTTTTTTTTATCATAGAGTATAACTATAGAGATCTCAAGATGAAGTCATGAGATTAGATCAACGAATCGGATAAAAAAGAGATACACCACTTCAGATGCCTGTAAACCATACTCTACGTACTTTGTACTCCATTCCTGGTATAACAAATTATTCATGTTATTAAAATATGTCGCCATGTAATAACGACATTAGAATTTCATCTTACTAGTTGAAATATATTATGGTTACTGGAGTGCCCACCCCTTGCTGTGCCAACTTACAAAGGTCATCCAACCCATAACTGATAGCTACCCGTGTACAAGTAATCGATCAGATCAACTCTCCAACACAAATTTGTGAAGCTATTTCTGTATTTTATACATAAGAACAGTAAACAATTAGCATGACTACCTTCGATGTCTTTGAGGAGGTTATTCGCCTTTATGAAATTGCGGATGGTGAGAAGCTCACCCAAAGTGAATTGGACCATTTATCCACTTTCTTTAATAATACTAAAAAATTATCTAGCGTAGAAGATGTCCTAATTAAAAGCAAAGACGATAAAACTAAGCTTTCATATTTAAGAAAATTATTGATCCCAGGTATGCATTCAATTGAACTATAATTTGTGTTTTCTACGCCTATACTGTAACCTTAAATATTTAATTTTTACATTTTCTATATTTAATTCAAATCCACCAAAAAATAATTTTAGATAAACTTGTTATCACTGACAAGTAAAATTAATCAACACAGTTTAGCATAATGTAGAGATGCGATCCAGCTATCTACTAACTTTATTTTTAATTTACAACAATAAATTTATTATGAAATTATAATAGCAGATCGCATCTCTAACGTTATGAACGCATAATAGCTTAATTTTTGATACCAAATTTTTCACCATTAGGTTCCAGATTCCATGGAGGATCTCACAAGCAATTTTAGCAAATTGTATGTTTATTAATATAAAAGTATTATAATTCAATATACTGCAGTTATGAAAATTTTTTGTAGAATTTGTTAAGTAGTCCTGATAATGTGAATACATTAACTCTAATAGCTTCACTGTTAATTTAATGTATGAACAAAAACACTGAAATTATAAAAGAAATTTTAATCCAAAACACAGAAATGGTAAAGGAGGTTGTAATCAACATTAGAAAGCTGTAAAAGAGGTTGTAAGCAAACATTCAGAAGTTATAAACAATAATGAGGAAGTAGTTAACATAATCATGAAAGTTATGGATAAAACCCTGGAAATACTAATTCGACACAACAGAAATAGCTCCGCTATTTCTAGTCAAGATAATGAGACAGGTACCGGTTTCCAGAAACTATACAGATAAAACAATTACAAGTATTGACTCAAAAATCTTTGGTATGATGTGGTTTTTCCAAATCTCTTTTGCATGTACTTTAAAGGTTGAAAAATATTTGGAAGATATTTAGAAAGGTTGCATATTATATCAAAGATTTTTGAATGAATACTTGTTAAAAAGGTTTATTGTTCTACCTGCAATAAATCTTATTGTATCACTTTATTAAACTTGATTATGCATCCTTTATCCCCTGTAACACATGCAAGAGCTTACCAGAGCATTACTTTTGAGAAGGTCGATGAGGAATATTTTCTTAATAAAAATAAGTCTTACCTTGGTGAATTTAAACAAACTGGATCGATTAATGTATTCTGTACCAACTGACTCAGAAGATAATATTCAAGAGTAGGTTAATATACTAATTGAAAACCTTCCGAAATTCTCAAAAAGAATTGTTATAAAAGATACTCACACAAATGCATATTTTAACGGATTTAAACTAGATTTTAGCATATTTATGGAAGAAGATGTCTATTTTACAATGTCAGTTCAGACACTTCTGAAAGTTAAAAGAAGAAAAAATATGTCTGGTTTGTTAGGTAAAGATAAAGGACAAGAATTAGATTATATTCATGGTCTTATTCATTACGTGAGATGGATTATATTTTTATGTAATGGGTTATGATAATTTAAGACCGGCTTGCGTCTTTTTGGAGGGTTTACTTAATTTTAATTCACCATTTACAATATTGGTTGGGTCTACAAGTGTTGTTTCTACGCACCACAGCAAGATCACAAAAAAATTACTGTTAAAAGGGTATTTAGGTGTAGGTTCATCTTCAATAGTTATAAGATTGACTGGGAAAATAATCCATCTGCCATAAAAGTCTTTAAACCTGGCTACGATTCAGAAAATGAGGTGCTTGCACTACGATTTTTAAACAATAAAAAAATTTCAAAATATCCCTGAATACATTGCACATGATCACAATTCAATAATAATTCACTCAGTTTGTAAACTACATCTTCTTAGCCTCTTAATGCGCATTCATGAAATAAATATTTATCATCGAGATGTGCGTCCCGAAAACATTTTATTGGATACTGCTAATAATACACTTATACGTACTTGCTAACTGTGGATCTGCAATCCGATATCTTGATGGTAGGATAATGAATTATGAAGGAACAATCACGTTTGCTTCCCCAGAAATCTTAAGCAATAATTATGGTTGTTACAAATCTAAGGCATCAGATGATTTGCATTCCTTCGTACGTACAATTTACATCCTACGTAACCCAATAAAGATCTTGCATCAAAAGCACAAGCTATTAAAGAATTTTGGAATGATGATTTAGATGTAAAATCGGATGGTCCATTTTGGACAGAGATGGTCAACGCGGCGGCAAAAGAAGATCATAAACTTTAACTAAATGCTGCTATGTTTTCGAATATAATAATGCATCTGAGCTGACATATAAAATAATTATCAATAAGATTATTGTTTTCTTTTCCGGGGCCTATTATTTTATTCATATGCATAAATGCATCAGAAACATTTTATATCGTGATGTATAGTGAAGGCAAATAGAAGATCTAAGAGAGGTTATAAAATTTCTCAACATTCAAATTTATAAGTTGTGATTTTTAACCGAAATTTTAAAGATCAATTTTTCTTTTTTTCTTTTTTTACAAATAAATTCATTCAATGATTTTTGTTTTGATGCTTTTTTCCTGCAAATAATTATTAAATTCTTACGCAAGTTATTTTAACAAATATAAATGTTAAAACAAGTCTATTTATAATAAATCAAATAAGTTTTTACCAATTTATTAGTACAGTAATAACTTTTTAAACGCATACGAGCAATCTCACATTTATAACAAAAATCAATAAGTTTAACAAGAATAAATATATGATATTTATTAACAAAACGTTGTTTACTATTAAAAGTTAATAATACCACATTTTTCTTGAAATAGGTATAGGATCATAACAAAAATGTTTTAATCTACTTATGCTTTCACAATCAAAGTTATTACCATAAAGATCTAAGTATGTCAATGTAATATTTTTACGGAGAGCCTCCGTTAATGATTTCCCTCCTTCAAAACCAATATTATTATTGCTAATATCTAAAGAAGTCAGAGTAGTATTGATACAAAGAGCTTCTGCTAGTGCTTTCCCTCCTTCAGTTCCAATCTCATTATAACAAAAATCTAAATAAGTTAAGGATTTATTTTTACAAAGAGCTTGTGCCATTGCTTTTCCTCCTTTAAAATCAATGTCATTATTACTAATATCTAAGGATTTTAAAGTATTATTTGTACAAAGTGCTTCCGCTAGTGCTTTTGCTTCCTCGGAAAAAAGTTCATTGTAAGAAAGGTCTAAGTAAATTAGTGAAATGTTTAGACAAAGAGCCTCTGCTAATGCCTTTCCTCCAAATTCAATTTCATTATTGCTGAGATCTAAACAAGTTAAAGTGGTATTTTTACGAAGGGTTTTCGCTAATGCTTTTCCTCCTCTTACACCAAGTTGATTTTGGCGAATCACTAAAGTTGTCAGAGTAGTGTTATCGCAAAGTGCTTCTGCTAGCACTTTTCCTTCATCAGGACCAAGTCGATTATAAGAAAGATTTAAATAAGTCAAAGTAGAATTTATGCATAGTACCTTTGCTAATACTTCTATTTCCTCAAATCCAATATTAGTATTACAGATATCTAAAGCAGTCAGAGTTGAATTGTTATAAAGACCATTTGCCAACGCTCCTACGCACTTAAAATCAGATTCATCATCGTGAATATATAAAGAGGTTAAAGTAGTATTCTTACGAATAGCCTCCGCTAATGCCTTCCCTTCTTCAGAACCAAAACAATTATTTGAAAGATCTAATGAAGTTATAGTAGTATTTTTACTAATAACTTCTATTAATTCTTTTATATTTCCAGAATCAAAATGAATATCATAAAGACATAAGTAGATAATGGTAGTGTTTACATAAAGACTATTAAATATAGCTTTATTAATAGTTCTATCAAGTGATAAATATTTAATCCTTTTACTTTTTCGAAGAAACATTGTAACCAAGGAACATTTAACAGCGCTTACGGGCTCATCTTCATTTTCATCATAATCATCAAAAGAATTTAAATAACGAGATTTACGAGATCTACGATATCCATCCGTCCCATATCCTTCATCATTAAGCCAATTTTCAACACCATCGGTTAAATAAAATCCAACAGAAGTAGTATAACTTTCATACTCAAATAATGGTTTTTGATAAATTGGAAGAACAAATTTAAAGGGGATGAGTAGTGCATGTTCTTTAGCATTCAGTGCTAAAAGATACATTCTTATGAGTCTTTTATCGCCGGAATAATTTGTTGGTTTGCTCCATAATATTGGTACAATAATTCTACACCATTGACGATTTACAAGGAGGCATGAAAATAAACTTTTATAATCCGTATGAAAGTTATTAAATATGTCGAAAAAACATTCGTTCGGTAACTTAATCATTTTAAGAATTTAGTTTAGGTATTAAAAACTGAAATTCGTCTCCTACATATAATCATTGTGAAATGTTGTGAAACCTTACTACGTAGATATGTCGATATAGATCTGTAGATACAGAAAGTGATTTCGTGTAACCTAGAGCTGGGAACCGGAACCGAAACTGGAATACGTACATACTTTGATTCGGATTTAACAATTATAGTTTTTGTAGCAAATTAAAAATTTTCTCGTTTCATCGTTATCGTTATCTTCAAACATTTTGGTTCGGAGATATAAATTTAATTTCTGGAGAGTTAGGTAATTTACACAATGCTCTTATGAAAACTTGCGTAACACAAACGTAAAAATTTTAAATACCCAAAATTTACTATGACAACTAACTTTCGGCCTCTAAATAAAAATTTTCGGCATGAAAATTTAGTTATATAACATATTACACAATTTTAATGTTATAAATAATATGCTGTTGCTTACTTTTCAGAAGCCTACCTTTCCAAGATGTCATTTCTCCGATTCCATAATTCCGATATCACTTTTTTCCTACAAGACCTATTTCCGATAACTTAGTTTACCGATAACTTGTTTTGCCGATAATTTATTAATTCCGGTCATCATCGTTAGGGTTAGAATTAGGGTTACTGTACGATTCCCCGAAATTTATTTACCCAACAGGCCATTTAAATGATATCACTGGTGACAAATTGCTAAAAAAATTTACACCTGCAGCTAATCAAATGCTAACCCCAACACTATGTGATGTCGCTAAGTAGCCTACGTATCGGGTAAATAACTTTCAGGGAATTGTGCAATAACCTAGAATTAGAGTTAATTTTTTAAAAAACTTGTCGGTGAATTGGTTGACATAGACCTATTTCTGTGTAGTAAAATGGATTGTCGGCATAACTGTCGTCCAGAAATTGAAACTACCTAACTAATACGTGCAAGGAAGATCTAATTTCAGGGGTTAGTGTGCTAAATTGGGGTCCGTCAAAGCCAGACACATACATATAATGATCCACATACTGCATAAATTGTATTCTTTGATATTTATATAACTCATTAACCATAACTACATCAAAAAAGTAACCCTAACTGGTACCTGGCTTTAACGTTCCCCCTAAATTGGTGACTTTAAGTAGATGACTGCGTATTGCTACAGGGTTTAGCAATCTTAAACCAGTGTTTAAATTTTAAAATCGTAAACTAATACTAAAATCCAAAATTCTAACTGATACTAAAATCCAAAATCCTAAACTGATACTAAATTTCAAACTTCTATTTTGAAAATGCAAAAGAATTCATAAATTACAGTCAACTCTTGTTATAGGTTCTGGTTAAAAAAAAGTTTATTATATAGAATTATTATGTTTTCTTAAGGCTTATAATTTTTATTATACCAACCTAATATTGTATAACTTGAATGAATTCTGGCTATATGAGTATTCATTATTTAAATTAGTAAAAAGGCAATTATATTTATTGCATTCATTGTATGTAACTGATTAGTTATGTGTAACAGATAAAAATTGGTAAGAGGAGTATTTTGCAAGATATTAGTAAAATGCTATGTATTAGTAGCATTAGTAATATTAGTTATGTTAATCACAGAATGTAAAAAATTATAAATAAAGATCTTTGGGTTTTTTACAAATAATTACTTTCTTTTTGTTAAATAAATAAGTATACAATATAGCTTATTTATAATATTTACTATTTGTATTATATAAACTAATTCTAAGTTATATAAAGTATATTAATACCTTAGTACAATAATGTTTCAAAATCTTTTTTATTTATAATTATTATAACAATTTAACTAATAAACTTATAACTACTAATCAAATTTAATATGTCTTATTTAACTTATTATTAACCCTTTTTTTTTTAAATATTAAGGTGAGTACTTGCGACCCAGGATTTTATTGATAGTATATTTGGCTAATAGTTGCATTA